GTACCTGCTAAAAGTAGTAAGCCTAAGTAAACAAAACCTGGTTTATGGTAATTATACGATGCCTATTGTTTGCTTAAAGGCGGGGCTTCGGACTTTGTTCTTCACAAACACACTAACTTACACGGTCAACTTTTTTACATAAAAAATGGCAGGTTGTTGTTCGTTCAAGTCGCTTATTGGCGGAGTTTGTTGTTACAACACTAGAGATCGAAAGCGTGAAACGGAAATTGTTCCTCTACTTTCATGCACCAAGAATATCGCAAGTCCTAAGTCGGCTTTCAAATTTACCGGTCCTGAAGATGAGATCGACCTAAATTTGTGCCGAGCGCACATATGTCGGCCCCTCTGTAGTTGCAGGTTTTAAACGGTAGTTGGGTCTGTTAACAGTGGTTAATAGTACCACTCCCTTTTGCAAGCCCCACCCATTGGCCACGGAACATAGTACCCCTGCCTCGCATAAGCCACACATCCCCACCACTGCGTTTTGTAGCATGGTGCAGTAAAAATGTACAAAAGGTTCTCTTTCATGCTATTCGGGGTATTCCTTGCAATTTTAGTGAAAACACCCCTTACGAGTACGAAAGGCACAGAACGCCAAAAAAACAAGAATAATAGATGTTTGTCACCAGACAAAGATGACACTACTACAAAAATGGTTACAGAATAAAATATTTTGTAGATTCCAAGAACTCAATTCTGATAGTGCTTAATTATATGGAGTTTTGCCCTTCACCTACCCCCTAAAGTTCCTTTGTCACCGGTAATGCGTGACAACCCAATACTCAAAGGGCGTACATGTTTGTAGTCAACTCAGTTTAGCATTGAATTAGACTGTCAGATGTAATCTTTTAGTGCATTGTAAACTGAGCAATACTCGCAGTCAACTGAACCGTTGAATAAGATTCCACAGTGAAGAAAGATATCTAACGTTTGACAACAAGATGGTGTTCGACAGGGTTGGTGGTTTCATCGGACGTTATCATTTATACAGATCTAAATACGACGAACGACAAGAGAATCACACTAAAATGGTCTCTGGATCGGTCTTCTGCGGTAAATGAGGTTAGAGCATTTGGAAATATGTTTCTATGTACTTTTTTCGGCCTAAAATTGGTTGAAACATATTGAAATATGTGTGACTTGCGACTGGAATGTTGACCACAAAAGGTCAAATAACTGCATTTTAACGGACTTTGAAAAGCTTTTGAATCGCTCTCAATCATTTGCCCAAACAAATTTTTACAGTAATATTGAGAACATCTTTTCGAAATTCAACCACCAAAAGCTTAATCCATTTGGAGGTTTAGCACATGGTGAAAATTAATTTTATTCACGAAGTATTTTTACTGAAGAGAAATGCATACTTTCGAAATTAAATAATTTTAAGCGCAAAGAAGAGCGCAATGTTTACAAAAATCATTTTGTGAGGTCTTATGAGATCGCTAAAGAAGATTTGAGTGTTTAAAAGACGAGATAGTGATTCGTTTTTGCACGCGAAGCCCTCAAACTCGTGCAATAATTTGCTGCTAAAAATGACGATTTTAACGGCATTTTCGTTATTTGTAATTTTTTCTGAAATAAAAAGATATTTCGCCAAAAAAAGTATCCAGTGATTTTATTTATAGCCTAGCCTATCTAGCTTTAAAATAAGAAAGAAATCGAATTTTCCACCCTTGCCGCGATATGTTTAATTTTTACAGACAAGCGCTCTTAAGCATTCTACACAGTGAACTAGTGTCTATTGAGGGAGCGGAGAGGGACCTTCATCTCAGAAGAGATGAGCTTTCAGACTGAAAGAAAAATTTTAATGATCTAGAGGCAGAAACGCAAAAGCTGATACATGAAATGAGGGATTTACAAAGAAATACAGAAGAAGAAAGGACCCTGCAAAATGAACAAAACCCAACTTATTTCTCTCCTTCACTAGCAACAGGGGAGGCATTGCTGCACAACTTCTATTTGGCTTGACTTTTATATCTCTTTGATTTATATTCACTTGAAATTCTGCTATTTTTCAAAAGCTGACAACCAGGGGAAATAAATATCAATCAAAATGGTAACTTAAAAGCACCTCTAAGCACATTCAGTTTCATATAAAAGCATAATTTAATGTTATTGATGACAAGCATGTTGTGCTATGTCTTAAATAAATCTGAACAAATTAACTAAATATTTGAGCTTATGTTTATTATTTTATAATAAAAAAACAAGGTGTTTTAAATATTAAAGGTCAACTAAAAAGCCTGTCTTGATCTAAAGGAATTATATCAAATTGAGCTTTTTTAAGCTTTCTTTACATTTTAGCATAAACTGAAAAATTATGTTGTAGCGGTAATAATTCATCCTACTCGATAAGCTCTTTAGATAGATGGAGGGCGGGCTCCCAGGTACATGATGACATGGGCCATCATTTCCACTTGATAAGGTACTCTATCTCCTGTGAGAAAATAAATAAGAAGTGAAACGGTCGGCTAAAGACAAGCCTTGGAACAGCACCTTTAAAACA